TTTTAAGGTGAGGTGAAGCTCTTAAATAGACCATCCAATTTTTTCCATTATGAGTCTGGTTCTAAAAGAATTGGTAAGACATATCTGAAAGACGAAGAAGATTTATCATTCTATTGGAAAAAACATTATGAGAATACCCACAGATAACCTTAATACAAACTGGTTCACTTCAGTGGATAAATTTCTTATTCTGCGATTATTCAGTTCGAGTCTTTCCTATTTTATTCTCTTTTAAAGAAATTCAAATTCAGCTATACTTTCAATTTATTTACCCTCTCGAAATTTTTATTGTGTTATGTTTTCAATAAATTTTGAATGGAATCAGTTACTGAAAATTTAGCATTTTATATTGTGAAAAATTGAAAATTGTGGAATGTTTTTGGAATAAAAAATACATTAGGAATCGAATTAATTTCAATGTTTGAGATAAAACTGAGTAACTTTATTAATAACATTATGTGAAAATCGGGGTTTAAGCGTTGAAGCTTAAACTGTTTTTCCGACGACGTGAAGATGAGTCCCGCTCACTGGGTCAGTGGATGGCAATTTAGGAGGACAAAAAAAATCGAGTGGGAGGTCACGGATAAGTCGATAAGGTGTAGGCCATGTACGAGTAAACACACATGTTTAAGATATTATACAAATTTAATAAAAATACCATTCTAACGGTTACAAATAATAAGAATAATAATAATACTTCTAAACTGAAGTTCGAGAAGGCGGTTAGCGGGGTTACGCCGCACGTACTTTCGACAAAGGAAAGGCTCTAATCCCTGTTAGTATTTATCCTTAACTAGTCTTAATCTACCTGAGAGGAAAGAGAGAGTTCTACTTACTGAGTTATGAATTACTTCGCTAATCGTTCGTCTTCGGCGGTCAGATGCAGGGTGGAAGTTGACCAGTCGTTTTCTGATGTCTTCAAGGCCGCTCCGATAACGGGTCGTGAGACCTCTTTATACCAAATTCGAGGGGGTGAGAACTATCATACTATTAATGATTTATAAGCACACTTGTTAGTGCGTTGATGTCTGGATCTAGCTAGTACGGACCGTCGCTGATGTATTCTTTGGTCGGATTGTTGACATTGGTCAACTGAAGGTGAAATTTTATGATATAAATTCCGACGAATTTGACAGTTCTCTCCCATTAATTATTGTATATTTTGACAATATCTTCTCAGATTTGACAACATTCTCTAGATTTTTTATATTAAATATCGTATTAGTCGACGAGAGAGGCAATTATTATCATGTTGTTTTGGTTATCGTGCAGGTGTTCTCAGACACGTGCCACGTGCAGCTAAAGGAGGGGTGAGAAATGCCGCTTATTAGTTTCTTTTAAACGTCTGTTCTTGCCTTGTTGATTTTATCGTTAATCGAATTTATCGGTATAGACTGTAACATTTAACCTGAGGAGAGAGTTTCAATCGTTGATTATAAACTATCCCCTTTTTCTATAGAATTACTAGGGTTAGGAGGAGAACGATACTGATTTAAACAATATAAAAAAAAGGGTAGACATCACAATTATCTAATTTTTAAATTTCGACCATTTTTTTCAACTTGAATTTTCTAATTAAGAGAAGGAACTGTAAAGTGAATCTAATGGATATGTATAGAAACTGTTTTACAAAGTAAGCTCGTAGAATCCTGGAGACAATCAAAAGGGGCAAATTATTATCAATTTCAATAATTGTAATTTGTATACAAACTAGTTTTATAAATACTGGAAGTTCCCCTTTGATAGGTTGGAAATTTTAAGAAAAAAAAGGAATTTCCCTATCAATTACAAAATTTATATCTTATACAAGACAAGTTTAACAACATAATTTATCCTATGTAAGAATGAAGAAAATTTTCAATAGAAAAGTTTTATTGTTACGAGTTAATCGATAATTATCCCATAAATATATTTTTATAATAAATATAAATCAAATAAAAATATTATCTTCAAAATATGCTAAGATCGATTTCATTGATAATTTGTAATTTTTTGAATTAAACTATTTTAATTTTTTTACATTTATTTACTTTTTCTTATAATATTTATTATAAGCCATAAAATGTTCACAGTTTACAACAATTATTTCAATAAAACAAAGTTTATTATTTTATTATTATTTTAAAAATTTATAAAAATTTGCATTTTTCCAAATTTTTTATCGAAAAATTAAATGTAAAAATTTGTAAAAAGATATCTCTCTACATAAAAATTAATTACTTTAATTAAAATTTAAGGTTTTTGATTATATTTAATAATATTCATTGATAATAACTTCATTTTTCTAATAATCATTTTTAAACTTTTAAATTAAATACAGTATTTAATTCAGAATTTAGTCACACATTTATAGGGATGGTTTCAGGCACCAATAAAACAAACATCTGCTTGGGGCAACCTATTTTCAATGGTGGCAGTTCGTAAAAACAAAAACAAAAAACAAAGTTCTATAAAAAATAAAGAAATTAAAATTAAAATTTAGAAAATTGAACTTTTAAAAAATTGTGTTTTTTTTTTTATTTAAAATAAATAATATTTTTCTGGATCAATTTTTTTTAAATATAAGGACGACAAGCAACTTTGCTAGGAGCAAAAATCTAGAGCCAGTTCTGTTCATTTAACCATAACGTTCTGGACTCCAGTCAATTCATTATGAACCGATTCTCATTTAAATTTTTACTGTTTACTAAACTTTAGAGAATATAATTTTGTAAAACGAGTGCAGATTCGATTGCACGTCAATAAAGATGCTAATTCATTTAAAAATTCAACCATTAAATTAACATTATTTACTTCTGAATGCTTAAATTCTTAAATAAAGTATCCGAAAATTGGAGATTTTGTTACTTAATATAATAATAAATACAAATATAATTACCGTATTTGTTACAATATAAAGATATATAAATTAAAAATTTTTTTTAAAAATAATTATTTAAGTACAATATATGCACTGTTCTCTAAAATTTTTCTTTATTTCAAATTAATATTCTAATTCTTTATATTTTAAAAAATACGCCCATTTTTAAATTAATCAACTTAAAGATAGGTGTATTTTCTTAAAAACTATGGGGAATTTTATAAACTAAAATTTAAGTTTAGTCATTGTATTATTTTCCTTTTTAATTCTTGTTTAAAAATTATTTACGTAATACATTTAATTATATTTTAATTAATGCTAGAGATATGTTTAAAATATAATATATAATATAATACTCTATAGTATCCTGTAATTTATATCATCTTAGCTTCATTAAATTTCTAAGAAATAATTATTTCATTTATAAATCAACAACAAAAAATACGATAAATTCTAACATCGGTTAATAAACATTTTATCGATATCTAACATTTTTTTAAATATAATTTTTGTAAAATATTTTGTGTTTTTGACTTAACTGTTCTCAATGTGTGTCTGCATTTAAACTTGCTTACACTTAGATCTAACTAATAAAATTAACGATGTTTTTTATGAAATGGACCCAACAATAGCCGAGTGAATAAAACATTAATACACAGGTTTGCACCTCACCAATCGGCTGACCACGTAAAGTTTTTCGGATTCTCTTAACGTGTCTAACATTTAAACAGGGCCAATTTCTCATAAATGTGATTTGGATCATCTGCCAAGGAAGAATGCCTCCTTGGCAGATCGCCTAAGTGTTGCATTGCCTTATCCCATCAATCAAATTCAATTCAATGTTAGAAATGGAACGTAATTCTTAAATTAAATATTTTACTATTAAAACTATAATAAACAATTAAATACCTTTGTGATTTTTTAATATTTTTAGCCAATTTATTTAATTTTATTTTAAGCTAGTTTTTATTTTAGATAGTGAAATATATATTTCTTCGAGAGAGAGATTCAGATTCAAATTTAATTCGGATCTCGAAATTTTCTCAAGGATAATTTACATAGACCTAGTACTGTATTTGCCTCTCCCGTATACTGACCAATTTCATTGCGAATTAGGCACACCTATAATAGATAAAATTGAGGTCGATCGTTTAAAGTATTGTGTTCTGATGTCACGTTATAAATACAAATTTTAATTTCACTTCGCAAAATAAATACCTTTACAGAGACTTTTTTAATTGTTTAATTCTCTTATTTATTTTTTTCTCTTCATAAGTATTATTAATATCATTTTTAAAAAAATCTGATACATTTTAAAATAATTAAAATTAAATCTCATTTTACAATTAATAATCATAAATTTTTGATATATTGAAATGTAAAAGATTTTTTTCTATGATAAATATTAAAAATTTATTAAATATAACATCCACCCTGCAATAAATACTGTACTAAAGAAAAGCTAGACATTTTTTAAAATATAACAGTTTTTACACTTACCAATTTATTAATTAGCAATGCCGGTGATTCATATAATATTATTTTAACAAGTCTAAAACATTTTTTAATTATAATTAATTAATATCGGTTAAATTACATTAAAAATTCACACTTTCTTTCTTAATCGAACAAAAAAATGATTATAATTGTAAAAAAACAAACTAACTAATTTATTTAATTTTAACATTTAGTAATCGTAATTACTAAATGACGTTTTAAATCTTCAAACATTCATAGAAATAAATTATCTCGAGCGATTTCCAAAGACAATGTCAAAATCGAGAGATTTCACGCTTTATAATTCGAAAATTAAGTGTTGTAGGCTTACATGATATTTTTATTTAAGGTTATGATTTTAGAAACAAAGAAAAAAAAATTAGCGGTTATCATCTTCCAGAAGTGTACACATATATAATAATAATAAAGTCTTTTAATCATCCACAAAATCTTTCCCAATAACCAGTCTGAGATGCAACTCTTTCTGGAAAAACAATGATGAAGAAGTTTCTTTCATTCTATTGGTTAAACCGCTTAATTCAGGTGTTGCGTCATGAAAGTAACAGTTAACACGTGGTACTGCACGCGTATAAAACAGTACCGTTGTCGCTTAAATTATTCAGTATAGCAAGACTCAAAAACGTGTCTTAGATAACCTTCGTCATTTTATTTAAAAAATGGCATTTAATATTACTACGGAACTAGTTACTATACTCAACGAAAATGTTACGAATATCTTATCGACGGTTAATGACAGTATGACTTATAATACGATATTAGTCGGATCTCCACCCCTGAAAATCGCTCATGATATTTTGATTGTAGTACTCTTAGTAGCTGTCATGTTTTCTATGGGCTGTCACATCACAGTGTCCGAGGTAAGACATTTTCTCCAACTTTTTAATCGATATTGCTAATATTAAAATTATTTAAAACTAAAAAGATATGTTTATAATAAATTAAATCACGTTATAAGTTATAATTTTGGATATTCACAACAAAAAGTGAAATGACTTCTTAGAAACGTCCGTTGAACCATTTGCCTATTTTGCTCTTCCTTCAGGTAGGCTCAACACTAAAACAGGTTTCTGCAACTCTCTATAAAATTTTAGACAATTACTAAGCCATTTACAACTCTAATGTTGTAGACGTTATTTGTAACGTTATTCTATATATAAACGGTATATATTATCCAACTTAAGGAAAATATGATAAAAAAATATTTTGAGGAATTTGTTTAAAACGGCCAAAAGGTTTACGATTTTGCAAGATGTTAGTTTATTGTTCAAATTGCGAACGATAATTAAGAGATAATAGAACTTGATTGAGTCATTTCGCATTCATTCAATGGCAAATTTATTAAATCAAACTAATTTTGCTATAGAAAAAATTGTTATATCATTTAATAGCTTTCCCTCTAAGTTTTATGACTTAATTAATAATAGGAAATTGTTATAATTCGATAGTCGGCGTACAGGTTTAAGGAACCGTAGAAAAAAAAATCCAAATAATATTTAAAAGAATTTGCTTTCAAAATAAACATTTGCTATATAATTATTAGTTAAATTTTATTTATTTTTTTTATTTATAACGTTACAGATTTTTTGTATTTCTAAACTAAACTTTTTTATTGTTAAATGTTCTAAAAATAAATTGTAATCAATAATTTGCAACTCGATGAATTTACAGAATTAAACAAAAAATGTTTAACTGCATCTCAATTTTCACATTTAATTTTGTAGCTTTGTCTAAAAGAAACAGAATATTTATTAATTTATTCTTGTTTCTTTTATATTGTTCTTTCGTTTGAGAAATTAATGCATAAGAAATAAATTTAAATTGTTATTATTCTTACTGTATTTTATGACGTAACATTGACAAATAATAACAATAATTAATTATAAAATTCATTAAACTTAAGAATTAAATTGAAAAATGTTTTTTAGATTTCAATAAAATTGCTTCGTGCAAAACATTTCTAAAAATTATTTATCTAAAATTTTATACTGATTAATTGACTCCCTGAAAAGTAAATTAAAAATTAGTTTATTAGTAGTCTTCGATAACAAATAATTAATTACGCTTGAACTGTACTCGTACTAATGTTATGAAATAATAACAATATTAAATCGTTAAATTATCAGTAAGGTTTGGAATAAAAAACAAATTTCTCTGGATAATGTCCAATATAAATTTTATTCTAATATAATTAATAAGTTGTAAGCGTGAACAAGAGAAAATTAATCTTGCTTTAATTTATTTATTTAATAATAAATTTTCAAATAGTTAAATTTTTATTTACTTAACTATTTTCAGTTACTTTTTACTTATTTCAGTTTCTTTTCTTACATACTTTTATTTATTTATTTAGTTTTTGTAAGGTTCATATTGGGGTTTCTCTTTGACATGGATTAAAAACTAGTATAAATAAAAACTGTTAAATTAAATGTTAATATCATATTAAATTTTTTACGCGTAGTTTACTGTTACTTTTTTACAAGTCATAAGAGATTACCAAAGATTTAAAGTGAATTCATATTAATTAAATAAAGAAAGTGGAAGTGAATAATTGTTATGAAATCATAATGTTTTTGCTAAAAAGCATTTTTAATGAATAAACAAAATAAAATTAGGCAACAAAGAAAACTTTTTAAAGCATTGTTAAAAAGATATTTAAAATTAATAAAAATTAAACGTTAATTTGTGAGGTACCTTGATCTTGAAACTTTTGTTGTCATTGTATGTTAATTAGATTATTATTATTTTCAATGAAAATATTATTAGATTCAGAAAATAAATAGATAAGGTTGAAGAATTTTTTGAACAAATGGGATATGAACGGAAGTGAAAGTTTAGGAACGAATAAACTAAAATAGCAAAAATGACTCCAGGCTCGAGTCTTTTTCGTTACTTAAAAGAATTCTGTGGAAGGTTTTAGTATTTATTATGATTTGAAAAAAAGGATTTGAGATTTATGGTGCATGTCAAATATTCGACCTAGTTTTTAAAATAAAGATCAATATATATTTATATACATAAATATATATATTTTCAAACCGTTTTTAAATATTCAATTTTTTAGTAAAGTTCTCCAATCGCGAAAATATTTACTTACACATTCTTATAAACGAATGAGAAAGTCGTCTTTTAATTCTACAGCTTTAAAAGAGGTCATTTTATACCTCGTGGGTGCAGTCAATAACCTCGGTATATATAAAAGTAAAAATATTATTTTTCTTAATTATCAAAATATGGTTTTTCTTTTGACATAAAATTCCAGATAGGACAAATAAAAACAACAATGGCATTTCTAGGCTATTGTTAAGACTAATGAACCTTCAATATGTATCTGTACAAATGTGGAAATATGTACTATGTCATTAACAAATATTAACCCCTTTAACTGAAATTATAATTTCTTGATAATCTTGTCTTAGGTATGGCAACATATAAAAAAGCCTATTGGTGCCTGTATAGGAATGTGCAGCCAATTCATTTTACTTCCTTTGGGAGCCTTCTGTTTGATCTTAGGCTTGAAACTAGATCCTCTTCATGCAACGGGAATGCTGGTTTTGTCGTGTAGTCCCGGAGGAGTCACTTCTAACATATTCACGTATTTCTGCGACGGAGACGTATCTTTGAGGTAAGTACACTTAAACTGAGATAATGATTTTAAACGATACAAAACGATCAATAATATTCTCATTTATACTCTAACAGTCTGACTAATTGATGAATCAATATAAATTTCTTAAACGCTCTAAAAGTTCTGTAAACAATTACTTGTTATTTCAGTCATGAAAAGCAAAACTGATAAATCGAGTCTGAAAATAACTTTATTGTTAAATTATTTTCTTCCTTGAATTTTTACCATTATAAAATCTGCCTTGATTAGTAAATGAATCTACCTTGAACTTCTGACCATATAAGTTTCGCCCGAAGGACTTCATTTCCTTTCCTTTACTATCAGTTTGAATCGCTAATGAAATGTGAGCACGAGTATTTTTCATCAATTGGATTCAATGGTATTTGAACATCAGATCCATGCAAAACTTCAGTAACAATTACATTTTGAAACTATTTTTAAAAAAATATATTTAAAAATCTATATTTAATATTGAATGGATGATTAAATTAAAATATACCACAAAAAATATTTTTTAAATACTTATTTATATTCGATTGCGTATATGACCATAATAAAGATTAAGAAGAACAAACTGTCTAAACGGGAACTTTCAAGGTCATATCTCTTCCGAGAAGATCAGGTGGTTGACGCTTGTGTGTATTAAACATAAAATACTAGGCTATTTAGAAAGAAACCATAGGGTAATAACCTTCGTGCAATAAATTTAATTCTCAATTTATCGGTTACGTTTATTATATTTTATAAATGTTATTCTAACTAAGTTAATTGAAGAAAAAAGAATGACTCACCATGCGAACAATTCTGAACGATGGGATAAATACAGTATTTGTTGACATTCGATTCTTAATAACGTTAGAAGTAAGATGGTCATTTAAATCAAAGAACCGAAACAAAACTTTGGTAACTTCACGTGCTAGGTGTAAAAAAATCATTTTCTAATTTATACGGTCTATTTATTAAGTTATTTGTTTAAATTTTATTAGATTGATACATTTTGTAATTAAATAAATGACTTTAAAATTTAAAACTTAAAAGTTTATAAATATACGTATGTATTATTAAACTTATTTTCTTAATTTCCTCTTATCTATCAAATATCATTTCATTTTATTACCAAATTTAAACGCATCAATAAATGTCATAGAATATATCCTTATTTTTCTATTAAATTATTTTAATACAAAAAATAACGGTTTTACGATATCAATATTCTTATTACACCATTACCTGTAAAAGATGCAATTCCTTATGCAATCGTACATTAGTACTCTAGAAACAGATTATGCGAACTCAAATTTCTTATATAGACATTTTACTTTAGGTCATAGACCTACATGTTGCAAGATCTCCTCTATTTTTTTTTATTTCAACTATGTAATACTATTTTTTAGGGATAACAATAAAGTTATTTGTAATATAGGAACTTAAAAATGATTACACCTATATGAATATAAAGAATATATTCAAATAGCTTTTATGTTGCGATAAAGGCTGTTTTCATTCTTTCATCTTTTAATTTAGTATATTTTATAACATTAAAAGTTTTATAGTAATATATTATTTTAGGTTTATTAGCAAAGTAAGTTTTTATATTTGTATTCTAAGTTTTATTTATTGAATAATTAAAAGGTAGTTTGTAAATTGTGCAAAAATGTTTCATACATCTTCCATTAAGATACATAATTTTATACAATATAAAAATAACTTTTAAGAAAATAATTCGATTATATATTTCCAGGCATCGTTTAAGAGATAATTGCTTTCAAGCAAGTTTTACACGAATACAAAAGGAAAATTTTGAGCAAAACTTGATTGAATATAAATTTTTCAATTTTCAGAAAGGGAGTTTTATTTGGGATTTTCCTTTCGACCTTGTGCATTTAAACTTTCTTCAAAGACAAAAATAAAAAATAAAAAAAAAATTCAATAACATTAATATGCATAATAAGTTACTTATCGTTAAAATATTTCTCAATTAAAATAATTTTATGTAATTATATAATCTGTTCGTCACGTTTGATTTAAGAAACATAATCTAGGGATTTAAAATTTAAATTGTGCCACAGACATTAATGGATAAAAGAAAAAATTTGTTTTTGTTTAAAACTTTTTTGGTATCATAGACGATGACGCAGATCTTTGGAACTGTTATTGCTATAATAACGGAAAAAAATTGCATATTTCGACTCAAATGAAGTCATAGTACTATTAGTCAAGGTTTTTAATTCATGATAGAATCAGTCACTGTAACATACGCTAACTCCTAGTTTATTTTTACTTTTTGCATTTATTTATTTTATTTTTTTTTAAAATACAACAGATCTGTTTAAATAGAGTTTATGTAGAAAATGAAAGCAATTTAATCTTTGTCCTTTATCATGGGAAGGTTATTTTATCTAATAGTATGACAAAGAACTAATTTGATGCGAATTCATATACAATAAACGGCAATTATTTTATTTCTAACTAGAAAAAAGTTGCAAAACTGATCATTACTTCTAAAATCACATAAAATCATATATATAATATTTGATTCTCTGAATTTCTTTAGTAATAATTATATATATACATAAGGCTATATAAGATAAATGTTTAAAATTATATACATACTAAATAT